CTATCAATTTGGAGACAGTTGGTTCTCATTTGAGTGAGAATCCTCATTTGAAATTCTATCTTTTCTCTTACATCACACGACTCTCCACCCAGCTATAGTAAAAAGAGTACAGAATGAGCTGTGAAAGTAGTTTCCATCCTACGAGGTTGGCTGAACTTGCAACAGGTTGTCCATAGGGGTTGTGGAGTCTCCAGCTGTTCAAAACCTGACAGGTCTTGGGCAACCTCCTGACTCTGCTTGAGGAGGGTTGGACCAAATGATCTCCAGAGGCCCCTTCTGACCTCAGCAATTCATATGACATTGGAGTACAACTGCTCCTTTTAATCTATGTTTGCTTTATGTTGACCTGAAATGACATCAGCCCTATAAGCCAGGCAGTCGGCCTACCTGGAAAGCCTCCAAGAAAAACAAAACGGGTGTTTAAGTTAAGATGATGATTCAATAACTGACATGCTTCTCCATGATTTGGAACTCAACCAACATCTTGGCATGAGGCTGTATTTCCACCGCAAACAGCTTTTTCCTTACTCAGATAGTGCCCATCGTATTTATGAACATAACCAAAAAAAAGATAAAAGCCTTCACATGCAAAATCTGTGCAGCTTTAAGGTGACTGCTTGCATTGGTAAATCTTTTTAATTCAAACTTTGTGTGTGAAAATACTATATCAATGGTCTGATTATAAAAAAGAATAAGAAAAAAAATTTCAACCTAGGTCTCCACAGTCCAGTTTCCTTGGAAAAGATTCAACAGTAGAACACACTGGGCTGAAGACAGACACAAAACAGCACAGCCTTTTTTTAGGTGAGATATAACTAATTTTCTTAAATGAAATTAGGGTTTCCCTCAAGCAAGTCTGATGCTTGGAACATCAGAGTTCAAAATCCCAGTCTTTAACCATTTCAGTAAGACAGATGGCAACGAGATGCCCAAATCCTATGTCTTCCAATGAGATTCGGGCATCTGATATTTGCTCTTTTGAGACTCTTTCTTCATTCTATTTATAGCTATGAAGAAAGGCACACACAGAAACCAGAAACAGATACTATTTGCCACTTTGCTGTCAAATTCCAGTGTAGGGTATCAGCATATCTAATGCCTTTTTAATTGCTTTGAACTTGCAGTAAGGGTGCATTATAAACACATGAATATATGAATTAACAGCATTCAGAAGCACCAGGAAAAATATTTGCTGGCAAATTAACTATATAAAATCAATGCCAAATAAAAAATGTACTCTGGTCTTGGTGAAGTAATTCAGTACTGTACAGTTCTCTGAAGTAAATATTTTTGAAGGTGGGGAAAACTCTGAGATTAAGCAATACATTAATTTTTTTTTTGATCAAATGCCAAAACCCATAGGTGAATAGGAAACAGACATCAGTAATTACAGTTCGTACTTCAGCTGTTTCAAAACCTCTTGCTTCAATGAACAAGTATTAACTGGACAGACACTCCTTCACAAATTAGAGGTTGCAAAGGCTTATTATACACCATAGTTATCTTTGAAACTTGTCCAACAATTAAACTAAAAACCATAATGATACAGGTTATGGTTGCAGGCAAAAAACTATTAAAACTCTAAAAACTATGTATATGTTTTTATCAGTCAAACTGTCCCTGCAGCCACTCTTTGGTTTAGGAGCTCAGGAATGCAGTATTTTGAAACACTGGCAATTGTATTAGTGTGATGTTGTCAAACTTTAAAACCAAGCGTAAGGGGAGTTACTAAACAATTTTGTTCTTAGCTTTTTAGGCCTGGGAACACAACAGATTTGCAGGCACAACAGTCTGGACTATCACCAGAGGGGTAGAAATGAAAAAGCGACATCTATGTGGGCAAGAAGCTTATCCTGAAGTAAAGGGACATCTGTACCACTCAGGGGAACAGCAGAGAGCTGCGAGTTATTAAAAATAAAGTTACCATGGTACAGTGGACTACCCAAGTCCACTGTAAAACCAAAAGCAAATGAACCCACTCCTGGGTTGAGCTGAGCATAGGTTGAGGCCTACACTATAACCTGAGCCAAGAGGCCTTGTCAGCAAAGTTACACACAAAGCTCGGCTACAACCCGGCTTAAGATACAAGCCTAGCTCAAGAACAGTGGATAATTGTGGGAGGACGTTTCCCTTGGCAAAATTAGTTTTCCTCTTTACTCTGGACACCAGCAGCTTAGGAAGGTGCCAACACTTTGGGAAACTGCTACTCAGTGTAGTTAAGGGAACAGCACGACAGCTTGAAGAAATATGAAACTAATAGAGGAAAAATGGGGTAAAATTAAAATAACAGGCACAGACTTAAGTTACTTAAGGCTTCTGAGTGCAGGAAGAAACTTAGGCCTTTGTAATTACTGACCCAATCCAAGACAACAAATATACAGCAATAAATACTTACCTTGCATACAACAATTGCACTGAAATCAGTAAGTACATTTCTCTAAATCTTAATTTCAGTCAAACCACAAGACAGGGGGTGAAACTTTTCATTTATATTGGAAAAACTGCTTTTTAGAGCTCAAATTTAGTTAGGCTGATTATAGAGGTTTTGCTTATCCAAAACGAGGATTTGGAAAAACATCAGCTAAAAATGACTTTAAAAAAAAAAAAAAATCTTTTATCTTATTTAATAGCTTACAAGGTAGTTTAGCTTGTTTGGCCAAAATTCAGAGGACAACCATGCAATAAAAATGGCAGCAGTGTAAAATATGTACAATTAGTTCAGCAATTTAGGAGGATATTTATTAAATAACAATTATGTGTGTAAGTTGTCTCTATATATTCAGATCTCTATGTGGCTGTATTAGGCTTTCTGTATTTTCTCTGTTAATTAGATTTTAATAGTTTTTTGAACATGGTATAACTCTGAAAATTAGCAGACATTAAGTGAAGACTTTAGGTACACCAAACTGCTTGAAATGCGGTATTTTTAATTCATCACACGAGCAACCCAAAGCAAACGTTTTCTGCACCTCCTAAATAATTACATTATTAATGGCCTACCATAAAAGTAATTAGTTATTATAAATGAAAGTGAAAAGTATAACATGAAGGTATGAACTGTTGAGGTGAATACAAAGAAGCAAGGTCTCAGATAATGTTTTTTTAATGGTTTCTCTTTCTTTTATACCACACATTCTGTATCAATCATTCTTATTAGGTGAAGATTTGTATTTGACCAGTAACTATTCAGACAAGATTTGCCATATTTTTGTCCAATACAAGTTACCTGTAAATAATAAAGGAATGGAAGATTGCTGATATTCTCAGCACAAAATGAGCAGCATGATTTGGCTTTTCGGGAGATTATGAGCAGAAAGGTCAACTGCATCTAACACCTACCAAGTGCTTAAAAATAAAGTCACCATGGTACTGAGTGCCTGTAGTCTTGAGCTTTGAACAAGAACATTTTGCACAAATATACTGCTCTGGAACTGTTTTAATGATATCTTTAAGGAACTGATATGACATTTGTCTTCACTAACCACTTAAACTAAAAGATGGTGTTACCGAACACAACAGAGATCTAGATGAAGTTGCATAGTAAAATCTAGCTTTTTTAAACAAAATGTAAAAAAGTTTATAAAAAATTGCATTTTTAGAGATGCCATATGTTTCCAAAGTCAGTGTATTTATTTTTATCTTTTAAAAACAACCAAAATAACCAGTAGATTTATGGTGTTCCATTGCAGAAACCTGTTTAGTCCCCGATTTACACTTGTAGCAATTGTATTTAATTGTCATCTTGACTAATTACAGCTAACTGAATATTACCATATGGCAAACTCAACTAAATGACTTTAATATGTGGTTTTGTTTAAAAAAGAAAAAAAAAAAGAAAAAAAAAAAAAAAACACCCTTTCCTGAGGGCTAATGAACAAAAATGCACTATTCTATATATGTTAGACTGCAAACGTAAACTCTCTGAATTGGTGCTGTAAAACTTTAAATTGCTATTTGTTGGCAAGTTGTTTTAGCCTGAAGTACTTTAATAGTAAATCACCATTACACTAATACCATACCTTTGGCCTGAAACATATTAATCTTGGTTAATAACAACTGACATTTATATTTACCAATTCACTTCAGGCACTGTGGAGACTAAACATACATGCACAACCCTCAGGGAAGAGTTATTAGTTTTGAATGCATCCTTATTTTTCACTGAAAAAATTCAAAGAAACATTATACTAACAGGAATTGATGAAAACAAACATTTAAGTCATAATTGATATGTAAAACTTGGAACAAAAACCTGCATTTTCTTGAGTGTCGATAAAGCATCTAAAATCTGCTACATTGTACAGTTGATATCTGCATTTCTACACTTGATCTGCTCAAAGATATTGAGATTTCAAAATCTGAGTACTTGCAAAGAAAAGCAAAGTAGAAATTTGAATAATTTTGAACACAAGATACCAAAATATGATAAATAGTACCAGACCTTCAAGAGATGATGAAAAGAGTCAATCACCACCCCTTTTTTTCCTCCCCCTCCCTTATTTGCTAAGTAATAAAGTCATATACAGAAATAAGTCATTTTAAACAGGCAGGGTGAGTTTGCTTTGCTCCTTCCCCCCCCCCCCTTTTTTTTTTTTTTTTTTTTAAACCTTGAGCACCCTCTTCAATGCAGAAAAAAAAGAACTGCATTGTGTCTGTATAACTTAGTAAGGAACTTACTCCTCTGCCTATACCTACATACCACTGTATTATAATTACACCCTGACACAGAAGAACACATTTGAATCAAATATTTTATTACAACTTTAAAGAATTCTCTGTCAGACTCCAACTTGGTATTATCTACAATGATTTTCACATTTTGGAGAACAACAGTATCTAAGTGTCAAAACACTTATGTATTTGCTACTTGACAATTGAGACTTGAAACAAGATCCTGTACTCAACCAGCATAAAGAGAAACACAAAAAAAAAATGATGCCTTTTTAATAATTGCACTGTTTTTGATTTCAATTTAAGAAAAAGTCACCCACAAAGATTCTGGAGATAAGAGCAGGCATATGAGTCCTGAGGGAAGCAACATGAGTTACATGTACCCCATGTTGCTTTTTGTTTCCCACCTTTTCTTAGCTTCAAATCTGAAATGGAACACAAAAACACATTAAGGATCATGAACATAAGGGTCAAGAATTCAACCATACCACAGTGACAGCAATAGAAAAAAAAAAAAAAAAAACAGAAAAACAAGCTCCCCCACATACAGCTTTTTTAGCAGGTATTGCCTGTTTAAACAAAAGACAAACATAAATATGATCAAGACTAGTAAAGCCTTCCTATTTAGTCTCAACAACACAAACCAATTCCACAACAAAACAGGAAACCCAAGGTTAAACTAGCAAATAAAATCAGTAGGAGCCTATTCCGGCTAAGGAAAGAGTTAACTGAAATTGCATTGTATACATTTAGTGCCATGAAACCACAAATGCCTAATTCCATACTCAAAATGACTCACCCCCAAGCAAGCTTCTTTTTCCTTCGAGCCTCCTGGGCAGCCTCTGCTTCTTGTTTAGCTTTTACAAAGTTGCGACAAGCAGTAGCTTTGGCAATTTTCACTCCAAGCTACGAGACAAAAAAAGGAACAAAAGAAAGTCAAATTGAAGTATAGGGCTCATGTGAAACATAAGCCCCACAAAAGAACTGATCTAACATTGATTCTCAAAATCCATCAAACATTTTAGCATTTAGGCTAATGTTCTACTATAAGATTGGATGGACAAGACTGTCTCAAGAGATAACTAAGGAGGGGGATCCTAAGTAGGCTATCATTTTCCACACCATATCTTTCCATTAAAGAAAAAAAAAAAAAAAAAACAATAATCAACCAAAAAAGTACACACACAAACACACACTCACATGGCTAAAAGCAAAGGACAAGAGCTGTGACTCTTCCCCCTCCACTTCCTTCCTTCACATCTCTGTATCTCTCTACTTGACCAGTCTGCAGCCTGTTTTAAAATGACAGTGTCAGGCTACACCACTCCGTTTGCTGGAGTTCCTGCAGACATTTTAATGAAGCAGTGTCTCCTTAGAGTCCATCTGGCTTCAGAAGGTCTTAATAGGCTGTAGGAGAATACTACTTTCATAAACATTATTACATCCCAAATTATTTCACATTAGTATACGTGGAGGGGAAGAGAAGAAAAATAATGAGACCATGAACTTTGACCAAAGTATTTTCTTCAGTTAACATTCATAACATTGCTCATTTTAGTTACATTCTGCGATTACTGTAATTACTTAACATTTTTTGAAACTAAAGTACGAATTATGGAAGAATTTGGTCTCAAAAGTTACCCCTTTCCTCCAAGACAAAAAGAGAATTTCTTTAAGCAAAAAAGTGCTCTGAGCTGTTATGCTGGCAAAACGGGTTTTCCTTCTAACTAATCCAAAGCCTACTGAAGTCAGCTATCATATTTCTAAATTTTACAGTCTTTAGAGGATCAAAGGAAAGAAGCATGGGAGTACCAAGTCATAGAAGACTCCAAAATTTTGGTAAAAAGTCTCTGCTTCACACTTATACATGTCAATCTGCTGCATCTATACATCTGCATTTGTGCTGAAAGATGCATTGTCCAAATAAGAGGAGGCGACTCAAGAACGCGCTTCCAGTGATGGGTGTTGAGCACATGCTCAGAACTCCCCCACCTAGGAAAGCTTCAGGTGGAAACCCAGATTAATAGTATAGGATGAAAGATGGGGGGGAAAAAATAAATAAATCTGTCTTGCTGATCACACCACTCACCTACCATTCAAGAAAGAAACTACCCAGGGAAGGCTGCGTAGAGCACTGCGCACCGTAACAGTTTGTGCTTTGAGACCCTAAGCACTGGGGCAGCAAACAGTTAAAATCATGCATAATATTAAAGGAATTGTGTAAAATGACTAAAGCTAAACAATTATTTTTATCTAATATCTGCCTTTATTTTAGGTCATAAATATGCATCTATGAAATTATCTTGATGTACAAACTAGATCATGTGATTACATACTTAAAAACTTTGATATCATTGTTTATTTCTTCTCCTGAACAGGAGCAGTATTTAATATTATTAGTAATTCAAAAGTAATATTTAAGCCTCACCATTCAGACATCAAGTGGCAAAGTAAATAAGAGAATGCCATGCTCTGGTAGATACCTTAAGACTAACTTAAGAGTAGCTACTAGTTGTGAATGTCACACTTGCACTATAAAAATATCTAAGAAAGCTTAACTCAAATATTTAAATAACTTGTTAACTAATACCAGCTTACTTATTAGGTCAAAAACACAGCAATTTGATGACTGGACAGTGTATTCAGTCAGAAGCAATATGCCCTTAAATATTACTTCTGAATTGCATTTTATCATCTAATACACTCAAAACTTAACTCTTACTACATAAGGAATTATTTTATCTCCTTAAAATATAATATAATAGGCCTATTAAAGATTTATACATGTATAATTACATGCAAGTGAGGTCTATACAAGTGCTAAAAAAAATCTTTTGATTTTTATTTCTTGGAAGGCAGAATGAATTCTTCCGTCTTGAAAGGTATGGAAAAATGGGATAAGAAGATTCTCTGTAGCAAATGTAGAAGGAAAAGGAGACACATTCTGCAGCATTAGTGTTATCATTTCTAGGCTACATAGAGAAACATTTGCAAGACATGAAAACAAATGTGTCACATAAACGCACAGACAAATTTTAGCCAGATTAAACAGCACCTGCTCCCGCACCAAGACATACATCTTCACTTCCCCTCCCAAAAGAAATCCCCAAAAGCCTGGGCAGTGGGGGTTTCATTTAATAAAAACAACAAAAATCCCCACACATTTCAGGTCATCAGATAACTCAATAAAATATAATGTTAAAAGAAGTGAGAAAACATGAATAAAAAATATATACAACAATTTCTTGTGTAGTCAAAGTATCAGCATTTTCCATATAGAACATCCAATATTTTGCTGCATTTTAATTAAGGTGTCTAAACATTATCACAAAGAACTGCAAATTGGTCAGAGCACGCAGTAAGGAAAATTAAGCTCTAAAGGCTTTTTATCACCATATTTCAGGAACCAAGGGTGTAAAATGTTCTAATTTGGGATATATTAAAAGCCATAAAAGGTCTTTCAAAAAGATTAATGGTACTTTGCTTGGATTTAAGATAAGGGCTTTAGCTGGTTGGAAAAGCAGGGCCCTGGCTAGACCCTTGAGGCATTCATCTTTACAGCCACTTGGAAGATTTGTAAAAGCGTCTGCATAACCTCAAGCAAACGCACTGCGACATTTTTTTTTTAAATTCCTTTCAATTTTACAGGTTTAAAGTGTGTAAATCATATTGGGCAGTAAAACTGATATAATGGTTCATCCTTGTAACACAGTATATATATTTTTATGACAAACTTTTTTTTTTTTTTAAAAAAAAAGGAGTTTCTACAGGGCAAAAAAAGCTTCCCCTTTCGAAATTCACCAATAATCATATCAAATATCTTACTATAGATGTTAATGCAACATAAATGAAAATTTCTTCTCGTGTTATTTTTCATAAAATTTCTCATCTGAAATTGTTACCTTGTAACAAATTTCCAAAGCTTTTTTTCCCCCCTTTATGAACAGTTTCAAGGCGTTTATTTAAAAATACCAATTATCATACTTTAACTTTTTTTATGGAATAACAGGTTTCTCTGAAAAATATTTATGCCACTCTCTTTTGTTCTTTAATTAAATGAAAACAGATGTTTTCTGAAGTAAAGCGGAACCATTACTGGAGTACTTAAAGTGTTAAGGTCTTTAATTTTTATATCAGTTTGGTCTACAATTCCTGATTGTCTTTACTCAAGCTCAACATTAATGTCAAGCAAGTTACCTAGGAGACGAAAGAGATCAAAGAGACAAAAAACCCTCAAATGTCTGATTAATCAAGCCTGCAAACAGCTTATTTCTTTTAGCCTGCATGCAAGTATGAAAATGAGATTCTGGGAGCCGTACATTGTGCAGATTTGTTCATTCTTATCAGAACAAAGCCAGCGGCAGCTTATTTCATGGATCATTGGCACTGTCATCAGTGCTACACAGAACGGGTGACAGCTCCTCATTTTGAGGCTTGAACAAAATTAGCAAAAAGTCGGCACAAATTAGCCTCTCATCTTTTTAGTAATATGACATTATTCATTTACTTTTTATCCAATTTTTAATTTTTTCCTTGTCAGCTATCCCTTTCTAGTGTTTCTTGCACAGCATCATAAAACACTTTTAAAACAAGCGAAGAAATGGCTGAAGTTGGAATAGTATGTAAAGTTCGAGCAGAGGAGTAAACATTTTATTAAGTTGCAACTGAATCTACTGTAACTTTGAGAAACCTTGAAAATTGTGACATATTTAACTTGAAAAAATATAAAGCAAAAGACTTTTCATTAGAAATCACATTGAGAAATACCCACATCCATGATACAAATCCAATAGATCCGAGAATTGCTCCAGAAATGTTGAAGTGTGACATACAAAATGCTAAACCCGCAGAAGCTCTAACAAAACATCTATATTCAAACAGGTCCTGAAATATCCTATGGTCATATCAGAGAAGCCAAACAGCCTTATAATATATGTTACAGTTTCTCATCAAGTATGAATCTAGTTATTTCAGGCTTGCCTTTAGCAACGATTTTCTCCTTTTATGTTATGGAATGTTATCCATTGCTGACGTATATAAAATATATAAAGCAAACAAGAATACTGAGTGGATTTTGCAGTGAAAATTGTCCCCTTTCAATGATGTGCTCAACTTCCACTGTAAAATAGTTTGTAATACCTTTGTTGTATTTTTATGCTGTGTATTACAACACCAAATTATATTTAGATGACACAGTAATGGAGCAAGGACAGGAAAATGTTCTAACATCTAAGCTCTTCTCTAGATTTAAACATTTAAATGCAAGCAACTTCTTCCATTCATGAGAAAACACAGTATTAAAAAATTAACTATAAGCTGTTAGATGCTTTACACAGCTGCCTTATAAGAAAGGCAGTTTTAAAAAAAGAACTGTAGTACTGTTTTCAGCAATTTCTTTATCTCTGTTCTTCTAAGTAAGAAAGCTTATTAACAAGCTTTGAACTTAAAATCACATTTACAATAATGTGCCATCAACAGTTTTATAAGCTAATTAGAAAAAAAGATTAATTAATGACTGGCTGCTAATAAAATGGCAATCATGAAGAAAGAAACCAAGGGTGCTAAGCTTCAACTACCACCAATTAAGAGCTAATTACAAACAAATTATATATGTGTTTTGCTGTGGGCTTTAATTTACTAAAATGGTTTTAATTAAAAGAGAAAACATGCTGATTAATTGAACTGCAGAAAAAATCTACAGTATAAACTGTGCTTTGTCTGTCTCTTTAATTAGACTTGTAACATCTGAAATCTTTTTTTAAGGTTTGTTAAGGAAAAGATATACATAATTAGGGAGCATAAGAATGTAATCCTAGGTGATAACCCTGCCAAGTTTCAAAGGTTAAAAGAAAACAACCTCATTGAGGACAGATTTGGAAGCACCTCTACTAACCATTAGAGAGGAA